CCTGACAGTATCCCAACTCACCCTGACTACATTCCAAGCCTTTTCCTTCAGTTTATAAGTCTCAGTGAAGGTTCTAGCAACAGTATAGCAGATTTGCAACGTCTTACAGCTGCTGTTCAACTTTTGCAGCATTCCTCATCCTTTAGAAGGGATCTAAAGACTTTCAATTCTCTTTTCTTGCCCAACCAGTCATTGCATTTAACTAAACAGCAGCTTTTAGGCATCTTCACCATAGACACAGCTATAATCTTTCCCCCCAGTGGGTGTAATCTGACCGCACCCTATCGTGAATACAATTTACATCTCATTAACATTCCACCAGTCGCGTATCGTGAAAAGGTCTATATCCCTGATTAGTCATAGATATTATAGGTTACGTAGTCTATAATATCTATGTCCCCATAGATACTATATATACCAAGTGGATACAAAACAGGAAGTGGATTGTACATGAAATTATATTGGTGACGTCACGAGCAGTATGCCTATGCTCTTTTCGCTCTAGCGTAGCCTCTAGTGGCCTTGTTTCTCGAAGTTTTGGGTTCTTGGTCAAGTTACTACTTTCCTGAGTTGAAGTAAGTATTATGAAGTCTCTATTAGCTCGAATGATCTGCTGAATCCTTGTTTGCTTGATCACTGGATCTCGTTGTACTGTAAAACATGGCGGCCTATAGTTCTGACTTTAAATACCTTTTCTCCAATCTGGGGCAGAGTTAGTAAGTGTTATTTGGGTAGAAGAAGGATATTATTTTGTTACATGGTCTGTAACTACTAGCTTTCCACTGCAGTTTCATAAAATAGAAATATATCCATTTTTTAGTTTATTTATGGTCTGTTTTGTAAACGCCTTTTCTGGAAAACTATGCTATTTGAAGAGGTATAATTTTGTATGAGTCTACGTACATGCCTTTTGTACGGTTTGTATATTTTCATAATTATTTTAAAGCTATGTTTCTTCAAAAAAAGTTACTTAATGTCATTGTGATATATCATATTAGAATGATAAAACTATTATCATATTATTTTTTTGATCATCAAATAGGGTATGAATATGAAACCAATGAAGATAAATTGTCTGTTGTTTCTTGTACGGACTCTTTTCAGAAGAAATATAGATTTTTATGAAGTTTTTTATAATTATTGATTTTGCCACCATTTTGGTTGCTAAGCGTATCTAGGAAAACGTCACATCCGGAGAAAAGAGCACAGGCGTATCCTGTTTCATATCCACTTGGTGTGTATAGTATCTATGATGTCCTGGCCGGCCGCGCCGGGTCCTCGTGCGCGCGGGGCGGTGCTGTGGGCACATGATCACATTTCACATTTGTCTGAGTTGCAAATTTTGATCTTAAAGTACTAGAATACCAATACCTCCATATTTACATGAAGAGAAGTGTGCTTGTTAGGTGTATTATATTGGTTCTGTTGGTCTTCTTATTTCGATCCGCTTGGCGATGGGTAAGCTGGGTGGCAGGCCCGCTATAGTCTGATTTCTTTCTCCATTTTTAGGTAGATGGGCTAAAAGAGGACATATTATTTTCACCTAGCAAGTTTATTAATGTAATTAGCACAATCCTTTATACTACCATAGTTATTAGCAAGAGTAGATAATAATTAGAGCTACTCCTGTTATTAGAGTATAAATGATAATACGGTATTTACGCGAGTGTAGTAAAGACCGTTAATCTTATTTGTTATTATTATTATTATAGTTGACTCCTGCTAATAATATATCTCTGCAACATCCTAATACTAGGAATGGACTGTGGATAAAAATATCACAATCATTTATAGTAAAAAATAATTATTATTGTGTTTATTTTATACGTACCATTTTAGGTAAGAAGAATAGGTTATCTTGACAAAAGAGATCTGAATAACATTACCATAACGTTGTTATCAATGCATGATAAAAGGAAGCGCCTTCCTCGAACCATGATATTCCTCAAAATATATGATCAAGATAATCGAGTTGTCGCTTGCTCGTCAACTTCGTTTGAACTTGGTGCATTAAAAGGCAGTGACATCTATATACTTTATTTGATACGTAGTTCAAGGTTGATGGATTACCAGACAAAGTCTATATCGCATGTGACAATATCTACCGACAATCAATGTGTCTTGGAGTTTGATACCATACTCATTAGGACTGTTGGAGATAAACCTCCAAAATATGATTTCGGGGTGTGTCTTCATAAAGCTATCGAAAATCTTTCCCCTAAAGTTATTCATGATTGGGTGAAGTTAAACATAGCATTAGGGGCAGAAGTGATAATGCTGTACCTTCAGACAAAAGCACCACAAGAGATTTATAATGTTTTACTGCCTTTCATCAACAAAGGAGTAGTGGAAGTATTGGACTGGCAACTGGAGCCACCACTTACTAGCGTCAGTTCATCAAGTTATGGGCAGACTGGAGTAATATCTGAATGTATATGGTACAACATGCACAGAGTGAAATACCTTGGACTAAATGATGCAGATGAGTTCTTTGTTCCTTTGAAACACAACAATGTACAGGATATGCTGAGAGATTTGGAGAATATACAAGAAGCAAGGAGGGCTGGTTCATATATATTCACTAATGCTCTTATCAAAGGTCACAAGGTTCTGCCTATTCTTAACAGAACATTAAATTCAAAAAGATGTGACAGCCTGAGTGTTGACACACTTCCATTTTACTTCAAGAGGTCTGAGTACTGTCTTGAAAAGGGAGGCCAGTCAGTAAAAATGATAGTCAAACCTGATGCAGTATTCACTGCATGGGGACATGAGCTCATAACTTATCGTTCAGACAAGTATACCAAAAACTACATAATTCCTGATACACTGGGTCTCTCATATCATTACAGATTTCATTGGAATAATTATCATGATTGTGGCACTACAATAAAAGAGACCAGGATTATTGAAAAATTCTTTACTAACATAACACAATGCAGTGTGGTGTAATAAAAACTAGTTATGGTTTTTTCTAAAAAAAAGACAATTTCAAGAATTTTTCATAAAAATTAAAAATTAATACTACCATCCAACATCAACAAATATTATAATCTCTAAAGCTCTTAAAGTTCTCTTTCAACCTTTTCTCTCTCTTGTCTAATTCCTTCTCTCTACTTTTTAGCAATTTTTCTTTCTCATTAAGCCCTTCCTCTCTATTCTTTAGCTGCTGCTCTTTCTCAAGAAGTTCTAGCTTCTTTTGTACTTCAAACTAGCTATTAGTCTCGCCCCGCCCCTTCGCTACCT